AAACTCACCACTGATGTTTTCAAAGGCGCTTAATCTGCTGGTTGTTGTTTGAAAGTTTTTACATCTGACACTACTGGCACCTGTTCTGTCCGAGGCGATTTGCAAACATATCCACCCATAATTTTCCAACTTACTTAACTAATTTGGCTTACAAATTTTAGCCTACTAAAAGAACAGGAGCAGTTAGCGTGACTTGTGACAGAGAAAAGTTTCACCACCAATCTGTCAACAGTGACAGCCTACGTTGAATACCAATGTTGTGATACTGAATGCAGATCTGTTACTGAAGCTAAACTTCCCTTATAAATTCACCTATGATGACAGTTATCTATCAGGAGCAAAGGGAGGACTAGTGTGACAGTGTTAGAGCATAGACTGTATGATAAATAGTGGACAGAGCTTCTGGTCAGAAAAAGTGAAGCCAGTGTGGAAGTGGCTTAAACCTTCATTCTTTCTCATGGCCGGCAGGGGCCAACTCCACTGGTTTCAAAAAGAAATCTGAATATTTTACCTTTGAAAAAATGACCATGCTTCTCACTTTATTTATAATATAATATTATATATATATATATATATATGATAACTGTTTTGTGATTTATTGTATGTATATTGCGTATCCACCATATCCACCACCGTATCAACCATCTAAAATGGGATCTCTGTTTCCCTGGCTAAATAAAGGTTAAATAAAATCTTATGGGGAAATACAGTACACAGTTTCCTAATTAGATTATGGTCTCAATCTCTAGCTTCAAGTCTTTTTCCATACAGCATGATGTTCATTTTGTAAATTATGGTTCCATTCAGAGTGAAATAGTCATTCTCAATAAATGTATCCAGTGGACCCCACAAAACTCAGATCAAACTATCAAACTAGGCAGTGGTGATGAAATTTGAATCAAGATTCTGTTACTGGGTTGTCTATTTCTCACTTACAATCTTTTTAGAAACATTTTAGAGAACTGTTTGTCTGTAATACAAGAACATGTTTGACCAGCCTGTTTTCCTGCTTTGAAATGGACGAGCCAAAACCAAATCACATATCCTCCGCAGCTCCACACTGTAGTCCAAACATGGTCATGCTGGACTTTATTTGCAGGATTGGTACTTTTACTTAAGTAAAGGCTTTGAATACTTCTCCCCGCCCCCGTGCTGTGACTGCTGCGGGCAGTCATCTACATAATATTGTCCACTAGTGCATACTACACCACCAGGTGTGAAAATGGGCAGCCCTCCAACCACTATAGAAAATATATCCTCACGTTCCTGTCACGCTCCATGCTCAGCAGCCTCTGCCACAATACTGTGTTTCTGTGTATTTGAGGGCCTGACACTGAATCTGTTGCAGACATCTGTTGTGCTGTAGATGACTGCACCATTTTTACAATTTTGAACATGGCCTCAAAAAGATTAACAACAATCAGCTTAACTGATACATTAGCAGTTTTCTTCCTTTAAACCTTGTGTTTAGTGACTGAAATAAACCCTTGAAAACAGCAGACTGCATGTGGGATTTGGAACAACAGAGTGAGAGAGAGAGGGACAAAAACGTGAGAAAGATGGTGAGCGTGATAGTCAATACCATGAGACTTCACATATAAGGAATTGTATGCCTTGGTATATTGGTGCATAACAGTAAACACAGTATGAGAAAAATATAAATAAATATGAAATAAAGGCAATAAAAGAGACAATATATGCAAACTTAAAAAGGCAATATATACAATTTAATCGATGTAGGAGAGCTGTACAGTTTTTGCAGGAATGTGCAAAATATTGTCCTGGGAATGTGCAAGCTAGTAGTCTGCATTTGTCATTCAAGAGAAGAACACCTGAAGACCTAGCACTGCAGATATAAACAAAACAGCCCTACGGATAAAGGTTTGACCACACTTGCTCAGACTGTTTCGTAAAACCAGTCGAGAAAATTAAGGATCAGATGAGATGAGGTTGAAAAATGAGACAACCCCTTCATGCATGCCCTCTTGACAAAGTTGTTTGCTGATTTGCTTGCTTCCCGCTTGTGCATTGAAGTTGAACTGCCAGTGTTTTCTCTCACTGATGGCCTTCGCCACAGATTCAACATACTCAGTCGGTTGGAAAAGTCGCAGAGGAGGGCCGTCGAGTGCCAACAGTGTAGAACACACAGCAAAAACTAGGGCTACTTACAGGTGCATTAGAATTAGAATATCATGAGAAAGTTCATTTATTTCAGTAATTGAAAAAGTGAAACTCATATATTATATAGATTCATTACACACAGAGTGAAATATTTCAAGCCTGTATTTCTTTTAATTTAGATGATTATGGCTTATAGCTAATGAAAACCCAAAATTCAGTATCTCAGAAAATTAGAATATTACATAAGACCAATAAAAAAAGGATTTTTAATACAGAAATGTCGGCC